CTTTCTTCTGACCCCCAGGCCTATCTCCTCCAGCCGCCGCTGCCTCAGAGCCTTAAAAGAGCTCAGCACACTCTGTAAATGTGATTATTGTTCAAGCATTCTCAATACTAAATAAGGAATTCTTTGTGATAGAATACGGCATACTTCAATTGCAAGAAAATGGCACCTTAATACAAAACGGGCAACTTAATACACTGAAACCGTGTTCAAACAGCGCTAAAATGACGAGGTAACTGTTTCCATTTTAATTCTCATCTATCTGTTGGCGCCCCCCCCCCCAGTTTGGGGACAGGTGACCTCTCAGAGCCGAGCTCAGGGCTTTCTGTGGGGAAAATACACTTTTCTTATTAAAGCTCATCTGGTACAGATTAGAGGCAGTAGATAAACCTCCACTCGTCCACATATGCACACGGATATAAATTTAGAACACAGCCAAGCCGGGACCAGCTGCCTGCGACTCCCCCGCCTGTTCCTGGGGTTGCCCTTCAGGCCCCCGTGGAGCCTAAAAGTGAGCACTGGAATGGGAGGTCGTGTGTGTGACCATTGGGACATCCTGGGCTGGCCCGTGGGCCTCCAGGAATAACAGACAAACACTAACAACTGCTGTTTACTGAGCACCTGGCACCATTTTCAGCCTCTTGAACCTCTGGGCTCATTTACTTCTATCTACGGTATGAAGCAGGTACTGTTACTGTCCCCATCTGATAGATGGGGAAACTGAGGCCGGAGAGGTGTAATAAGCTGCCCGAGGTCATGCCGAGCTGGTAAGTGGCCGAGCTGGGATGTGGTCCCAGGCAGAGCGCCCGCCCCTCAACAATACACTCCACTGCCACTTACGCGGGCCCATCGGCCTGCCTTCCACGCCTGCACCTGCCCCATCGCCTTCCTCTTAGGGGGAGGAGCATCAGGCACAGTGATTATATAATCTGTCACCCTAATGGGCCCCTTTGAGAGGGACGAGGAGTGCTACTACCAACACCACCAGGACAGCAGGTGAAAAGAGAGCCGGCTCTGGCAAACGGACCATCTGGTCACCCTGGTGTGAGGGCACCTGGAGTGCCAGGCAGTAGGAGGCCGGCCCTGCCCGCCTACCCTGGAGGAGGTCTCCACTTCCCCTCCAGCTAAGGGCATTCTCACAGCCCTCAGCCCCTCTTGTTATTATTTTGTTTGGTTTTTGTCTGCTGCCTCCCCGGGCTGCAATTTCTCTGAAGGCAGAGACTGTTTGCTCACTGCTGTTTCCCCTCCCTCAGCACAGCAGCCCATGTGAGACCCAGTCTCCGGGTGTGTAAAGGTGCGGCCCAGGTCACCTTCCTGGGGCAGCGCCCTCGGCTGCCCCTGTTTCCGGGGGGTCTGCTCTTACTCCAGAGCTCTGGGTCAGGCCCCTGAGTTCGTGAAGTGGGAAGCCGCTCTGTCTTCCACTCTTCGAGGCTTAAGTTGGCCTGGGTGCTGGCAAGTGGTTCTCTTTAGGAAAACACACACACACTGCCCAGACAAAAAGATGACCATTTCTTGGGAGAATTTTCTGCGGGGCACGGCCTCCTGGGGCAGCTGGGCTGACTGGGGTGAGGCAGTCTCTGGGAGGGCAGCAGGGAGCTGGGACCGAGCCTCTCAGGAGGGAAAGGGCAGATGTGGTTCTGCACATGTCCCTGTGCCCTTGGGCCCCGGTAGAGGGGACACAGCCATGATTTGGTAACTGGGCCTGACTCCAGGGTGGCATCTCATGTGGGCGAGATAGTAGAGATTCCAGGGGAGATGGCACGCAGGCCACTGCCCCTCCACCTTTCTCACACGGCAGGGAGGGCCCTGGGTGCTGTGAGGTCCGGGGCCCCTGACCCAATTCTCAGGCCAAAGCTCCCAGCTCAGTGGCTGGGCAGGTGAGCAGCTGGTCCGGCAGGCCGGGTATCGCTGCTGCCCACACACCTGGAATGCAGGCCTCTCTCCTCTCTGCTGGGGTGCGGCTCCCCCCCGCCCGCAGGCCACACCTCACCTACGGGGCTCCGCTGCTGCCAGGCGCAGGAGACCGGCCTCCTGCAGCTGTGCCCGGCGTCTGCGGCGGCTGGCAGGGACCACACACTCTCGCACCATATGGCAGCCAGACAGAAGGCCTCCGACCTGTTCAAACGCACGGCCCCCCAGGGGCACTGTCACCAGCACCCGCCTCTGCCAACGAGGCAGGCGTGCAAGGACCGACCAGTGGGCTCGCGGCTTCATTTACCCCCGTCACCTGCTGCGCAGCGGCTGAGGCTTTTGCTTAGGGTTTCCGGGTCGGAACTCCTGTCTGGATTCACTGAGTGAAATCACACAGCACCCACCTTCCCCACGTCCCACAGTCTAAGGCAGAGAGATGGCCTAGTCACACTGTCAGGTAAAGAGTCTCCAGAAACTTCTAGAACAGTGGTTCTCAACCTGTGGGTCGCAACCCCCTTGGGGGGTTGATTGACCCTTTCACAGGGGTCGCCTAAGACCATCGGAAAACACATATATAATCACATATTGTTTTTGTGACTAATCACTATGCTTTAATTATGTTCAATTTGTAACAATGAAACTGGGGGTCACCACAACATGAGGAACTGCATTAAAGGGTCACGGCACTAGGAAGGTTGAGAACCACTGCTCTAGAAGGAGGAGGGGCATGGGGCTCTGGAGGCCTAACAGAGATGCAGTGAAGGGGGAAATTCCCGATGGCAACGAGTGGCTTTGACCCAACCAACCAGAGAAAGAGAAGACGGTGCAGACTCCCGGGCCGACCCATCCCAGCCGCAGCCTCACGCAGCGCCCCCTGCTGGGAGGTGCGGAGGGCCTGGATGTGCCGAGTAAGCATGAGGCCACTGTGCACACATGGCCCTCTCACGCACCCACCCCGCGAGGCAGGACTCGTCACTAGTCTGCATTTTACAAACGTGGAAACCGAGGCTCCAAGAGGTTTGGAGACGTGTCTGAGGTCACATAGCTCGCCCATGGTGATGTGTCTGACTCTTAAAAAAAGATTCTCGGGTCTTTCACGAGACCACACTGTCCCCCACAAAATGCTGAGCCTGCGTGGGGGGCAGAAGGCTCCCCTCAGTGGGCCTACCCCCCCCCCGCTCCGCCCAAATCCCAGCTCCTGCACCCACAGCCCCATCAGCCCCGATGTCAGCGGGAACGGGAGGCTGGCCTGGGCCCCGAAGTCGGGGTGCACGTGGACCCCTAAAGAGCCTTCTTCCCCAAATCTCAAATATTCAAGTAGCAAGCGGGGCTCGGAAGGCTGTCGGAGGCGGCTGGTCTAGTGGGAGAAGGAAAGCTAAGAGCTGCCTGTCAGGCAAGCAGGAGCAGGCCAGAGGCAGCCCGGCCTGACGCCAGGCACCGCCGGAGCTCTCGGCTCCAGCCTCAGGTCTGGAAAGCCAACCGATCAGCCTCCGAAGGGACCTTCCTTAAGAAAGGAAGTTCAGTTCTCTGCACAGGGATTTTCCAGCAGTCCTGCAGACAAAGGGGATTGTTGCTGCCGGGTTAGAAAAACACTCCGAACGAATGAGGCCCCGGGGCCTGGCAGTTCCCCTGCGAGGACGGGTGGGCCCAACAATGGGGCAGGAAGTCATATGCAGTGGGCAGCTTCCCAGGGCACTTGTCAGTGGGGGGGCCAGGATCCGGTGCCGTCTCCAGCCCGTTACCTGGCACCGCCACTTCCTGTGTCTTCCCCACCCCCTGGCCTGTTCCTCTTTGGATGCTGGACAGATAGATGCCCCTCCTCAGGCTGGCCACCCAGGACCAGCGAACTCAAGTCTGTTGGAGAGGAGGCTCAGAGTCGTTGTGATTGAGCTGCACCAGCCATGCTGGGTCGAGGGGGTGCTGACCTAGAGACCCGGCTTCCAGCATCGTGCCTTCTCGCTCCTGGGCGGCGGGAGGGTATATCACCTTGGATCGTGCAAATTCACTGTGTTACTATAACGAGGCCTCCCCGCCTGGACTCAGATCTGCCTCTTCCTCGCTGGACCCTTGGGTGCCCTGCTGACCCTTTCTCAAGGCCTCGGTCTGCTCACCTGTAAATGACAGCAATGGCTCCCTCCAAGAGCTGATGTGAGGGTCTGTTAGACAGCTGTGCATCTAAAGTGCTTTACAAACTGAAAAGCTTTGTCTAGATGCTTCTGGCCCAGGCAAAAATAAACCAGATCACATCACTCCCAAGCTTAACACTGGGCAAGGACAGCCCACCACGCGTAGGTCTGTGGCCAAACCAACTACAAAGGGGCTTAGGGCCCGATCACCAGAAACTTCAGAAAGTGCTCCGCTCACTCTTGGTCTCTGAACCAACAGGTGGGTGAAATCCAGTTTTTAGTTCTTTGAAATCCTTGGGTGGTGCGTTATGATAAACCTACAGTCTGTACATGTGTTTGTCCAAAACAGTCCTCACTGCATTCGTCCTCTGTGACATCTGGTCTACCTCGTCTTCCGGCCCCGGCTACTGCTAGGGCTGAGTTAAGAGGGAATTGAGGGCAGGGACTGAAGAAGGCATATATGAGAGGGAGGGGTTGTGATATTTAAAGTCACCACTGCTTTTGGGTTATTTATGCATTAAACAAGATTTAGTTATTCTAGTGCTTCCATAGGTTTGTGAAAAGTAATTATACCAACAATAGCAGCTACCATGTGTGAAGAGTTTACTCTGTGTGCTACGTCCTTTAAATACATGACCTCATTTGATCCCACAAAAACCTTTAGAAGTAGGTCAAGCCACTTTCCATTTAAAAAGCTGGGGAAACCGAGGCCTCAGAAGTTAAAGAACTTCCCCAAAGTACATAACTGGTAAACGGCAGAGCAGAGACCCCATATTACGGTCGTTGACCCCAAAGCATCCAATCTTCAAGCCTATCTCACTAACGGAACAAAATATTTTACTGCCCTACTATGTGCTAGGGACTGTTCTACGTGCTGAGGACACAGTGAGGACAAGGCTGACCCATGATACTTACATTCTAGAGACAAGTAAGTAAGCAAATACTAAGCAAGGTGATTTCGGGAAGAGGAAGGTGCTCTGAGGGTGATGGAGAATGACTGGCAGTGGGAGGGCCAGCTTCCTGGGTGCACTGCAGACCACAAACAAGTCACCCCGGGGTTTACTGGGTGGGCCAGTCTGGGGAACACATGCAAACAAGTCCTTAAGTCACCCAACAGCTATTCTTCTTTCTTTTACTGCCATTTTGGGAAAACAGATGGAAATTTAATGCAAAAAAGAAGACGAGGAAAAGAGAAAAGAGCTTAACGTTGCAAATCTTCTTGAAATGGCATTTAAGGGAGCCAGTCAGTAGAATGAAGCCACCGGTGCCATCATCTCTATTATCTGATAAGAAAACACTTTCGCAAGCTGAGCAAAAGCTTAACGAGCCCCCTTCTTCAGACTGAGCACACGGCCTATCTGGGGCACTTCCTAGTTATGTAAAGTGCTCATGGGGAACCCCCGCCCCACAACCCACTGCATCTGGAAAGGAACAAAGAGGCGCCTCTGTCCACGCTGTGTACCTCACTTGTGTCGGCGGCATTTCCCCAGAACAGGGGACTCCCCCAGGGAAGTAGGCACTGCTCAGATCCCCACGTTACACAGGAGGAAACTGGGGCTCAGAGGTAAGGAGTCTTGCTCCGATCACAGCCAGGGCGCCTCTGAGGGTGCTCAAAGCCCCCCAAGAAGCATTTACCTCGATAAACAAGTATTAGTGATGACTTAAAAAAAACACAACACACCTAATTTTTTCGTTTTTAAAATGTAGATCCATTTGTCATGAAATATGCACTTTGAAACAAGCAAAGTCCTTCCGGGATTTCACCGCCCATGCCGCCCTGCCTGTGGCTGTCTCCTCGGTCCAGTTACAGTCCCAGTCTGTCCCGATGCCACCCACTGCTCCAGCCTTTCCAAACATCCTCCTGAATACGATGGCGGCGAAGATGACGACAGCTGACATACTGTGTGCCAGGCACTGACTAGTCTAAGTGCTTCACGTGCATTAACTCAATGAACCCCACAATGCCCCTTGAGGCGGGACTGTTACTCTCATGCTAAGAAGAACAGGCCGAGGCACAGAAGCCAAACGACACGCCCATCTACTGGTCAGCGGCAGAGCCGGCCTGGATCCGGGCCGGCTGCAGAGTCTGAGGGCCGACCTAGGACATTTCCATGCAACCAGCTTCCTCTGCCACTGCTGGTTTGTGCTCATTTGTCCCCTTCTCTCCTGTCCTTTGCCTCCCTCATTAGGCTGCAGACTCAATCACCTAAGCCCCTCTTCATAACCCTTACACCCCTTCCCCACGGACCCACAGACGTGCGGGAGAAATGTGAGTTAGTCAGTAAAGCCCTTACGATGCTATCTGTCTCTATCTGTGCTCTGTGATGCTAGCTACAGTTAGCAGTGGCGTTTGAAAGTCGTTGCATTATTAATTATTATTGTCGGTAGCAGTGGTTATAATAGCGGTAGTAGCAATTGTATGAGTAGCAGTATTCCTAGGCCAGATAACACTTGAGACCACATTTTAAGAAATGTCATACTACATTGGAGAAGAAAGACTACTCGGGACATCAATCAGAAGAGGCCGTCTATCTTTAGGTTGACATGGTCCCACGTGTGTCCGCACTCACGCCCCTCGCTGGGCCTCCTGTGCAGCACACAACCTGTGTATCTGTTCTGAGCGGCCCTGCACAGGCCTCTTTACCCCAGGTCTCCCTACTCCAGGCCTCCCTACCCCAGGACTCTCTACCCCGGCCTCCCTACCCAGGCCTCCCTACCCCAGGCCTCCCTACCTCAGGCCTCCCTACCCAGACCGCCCCATCCCAGGCCCCCCTACCCCAGGCTCCCCTACCCAGGCTCCCCTACCCCAGGCCTCCCTGCCCCAGGCCTCCCTACCTCAGGCCTCCCTACCCAGACCGCCCCATCCCAGGCCCCCCTACCCCAGGCTCCCCTACCCAGGCTCCCCTACCCCAGGCCTCCCTGCCCCAGGCCTCCCTACCTCAGGCCTCCCTACCCAGACCGCCCCATCCCAGGCCCCCCTACCCCAGGCTCCCCTACCCAGGCTCCCCTACCCCAGGCCTCCCTGCCCCAGGCCTCCCTACCTCAGGCCTCCCTACCCAGACCGCCCCATCCCAGGCCCCCCTACCCCAGGCTCCCCTACCCAGGCTCCCCTACCCCAGGCCTCCCTGCCCCAGGCCTCCCTACCTCAGGCCTCCCTACCCAGACCGCCCCATCCCAGGCCCCCCTACCCCAGGCTCCCCTACCCAGGCTCCCCTACCCCAGGCCTCCCTACCCCAGGCCTCCCTACCCAGGCCTCCCTACCCCAAGCCCCCCTGCCCCAGGCCAGGAAAGGGCTGGAATGCCATAGAGAAAACACTAGACTGGCAGCCAGCGGGCCTGGATCCTGGGGCTCTTCAACCACTAGCCTCCTGCCGATGGCGTCACCTGCCAGAGCCACAAGGTCTCGTCTGTAAAATGAGTGGATGGAGCAAAAAACGTGCCTAAGATCCCTAACGGTGACATCGCTGTCATCCAAAGAGGTGGCAGCTACCACTGACGGAAGCCAGTTACCGCCCAGACCCTGCCTACAGAGCTTTTCCTCAGAGCACCAGCTCACGCGATTCTCTACCAACTTTCCCGGTAGGTGTGAATACCCCGCTTTAGAAAAGAGGCAACGGAATTTCTCAAGAGCCCAGGAAGTGGGCACGAGTGCCGGCAGACCAGAGACCGAGGCCAAAGCCCACATTCTAAGCCTCACTGACCCCTGTACATCAGCCCAGGTCAAATAATACCCTGCTTCCTCAGGCCTTCC